TACTGTAAAACCCTTCGAAAGAGCAAATCTGTCCAATGCAATTGATGTATTGGGAACAATTTATAGTAACACAAATTTTGCATTTGTTTATGTGCAATTTTGTTCATGAGAAACACTAGATGAACACAGGAAACTACATCTTGCTGAACAGAGCTGGGTAGGAATATATAAAACACATACGTGCACACATCTTAAACATCTACCGGCCACTTAGATCACTGCATGTATGGACTACATTCATCTGGTTACAATTTTCCATCTGATTTTAGACATTCTCTTTCCACTACTTCACAATAACTCACAAGCTGCAACCCTTCTCATGCCCATTTCTACAAGCAAACTTTGGGGTTTTACAAAGTAAAGTACCATATTTATTGTGGTATTTATGTATTTCTTAAGCATTTAATGTGTAAAACTTTGCTACCATTTTTATTAGATTCCTATCTTTTCTTTTATGTGTCACTAATGGAATTTTTGTTGCATGACTTTCTCTAGCATGGTGATTTTCAGAAATCTATATGTTGCATTATAGCAGAACTGACTACACCATTTAATACTCAGGAATTGGCCCATTTCTCTGCATTTCCACTGCTATCAGTTTAATCCAGTAATTACCATCTTTCACCTGGGCCACAAAAACAGCCTAGTTCTGTGGTTCTCAATCAAAGACAGTACTCCTCAACTCCCACCCTGTCCAGGTCACTAGAAATGGATACAGGGTGGCATTTTTAATTATCACAATGACTCAGAGAGGCACTGCTGGTATTCAGTTAATAGGGGCTGGGGATGCCACAAGTTCAGCAATGTCACCCACACAATGATTTGTCCCACCCAAAAATGCCAAATGTAGCCCGATTAAGAAAAACCAGCAACTGGTCTCCTGTATCTGCTCTTAGCTCCCTCTGCACTGCAGCCAGAGAGAGCTTTCTTGGAATGCAAATCAGATGATGCCCCTCTTATATTTAATGCCCTTTAATAGCTTCCTCTTAACCTAAACATCAAGGTCAAAATCAAAGTGTGATCTATAGGCTCCCTGACTCCCTTCTAGCCTCATCTCACGCCACTCTCCTTTTGCCACCTTCACTACGTTTTAGGCATTTATTCACTCAACAAGTAAGGATTAAACATCTGTGTGCCAGGAACTATTCAGAGTGATGGGGATAGAGCAGTGAACAAAAGAGACACAAATTCTTTCTCCTCCTGAAACTTACATTCTGGTTTCATGAAGCTGCCAGGCTTCTCTTCACCTCGGGGTCTCCCCACATGCTACACTGTGCTTAGCCAATTCCAACTCATTCTTCAAGTCTCAGCTTAGACATCCTTCCTCAGGGAACTATTCTCTCACCCCACCCTGCTAAGTTAGTTCCTTATTACATGATCCATGACTCTGAACTGTTTAGTGTTACTCAATGCAACTAAACTTATTTATTCAACATCCATCTTTTTATATCTCCAGGCCCTCACACAGTACCTGGCACACAGAAGGCATTCAAAATAGTTTTTTATTGGCTGGGCGCAGTGGCTAATACCTGTAATCCTAGCACTTTGGGAGGCTGAGGAGGGGGGATTGCTTGAGCCCAGGAGTTTGAGACCAGCCTGGACAACATGGCAAAACCCCATTTCTACAAAAAATACAAAAATTAGCCAGGCACCTGTAGTCCCAGCTACTTGGGAGGCTGACATGGGAGGATCATTTGAGCCCGGGAGGTCAAGGCTGCAGTGAGCCATGTTTGTGCTACTGCACTCTAGCCTGGATGACAGAGTGAGACACTGTCTCAAAAAAAAAATTTTTTTTTTGTTTACTGATGAAGATATATATGTTTACCTGTGTGCATGTATCTTTATACTTTATGAATATGTATGTATAAACACCTTCATGTCTGGGTATATCTCCAAATATTTCTGCAGGTGACTGCTTATGTGTATATGCACCTATATATGAATGCATATATGGATACAGACATGCAATTTGGAGTATATCCACTTGGGGTGTATGCGTTCACATGCATATACATGTGTATATTAACGCGTTTGCATACGTGTGTATTCTTCTGGCTCCTCAGTGACAGCTCTATCTCCTAGAGGGAGCTGGAAGCAGGGCCCCAAGTCCTCTCTAAGCTGACAGCTCAATAAGAATAAGATCATTCAATGACATTCCAAATGTCAGCAAACACAGGCCTGCTCCACTCTGCTACAGGGGAAGTAGATGGCGATGGGAGATGTGGAAACTTGGCCATTGAAAAGTTCCTATTTCCTGATGCAACCCACACCATTTCTGGAGAAGTAAGGGCAGCTGAAAGACATTTTGCCTCTTCTCAGATTGAAGGTCTTAGGAAATAGGCATGGTGAATTCATCCCCAGTTGCTCACTCACTAGGCAAGTCTCAGGTGACCAAGCAGACCAGGACCTTCCCCACCTTTCTGAAGAAGTAAAGCTCTGCTGGGGGAGTGGAGGAGGAGGAGAGAAGAAAGGGAAGGGGGAAACGCAAAGTAAGATCAAGGACACGAGAGGACCCTGTAGAGAGCCAGAGCCTGGGTCACACAGGGGAAACAAGGCATGGACTAAGGCTTTTACATAATATTCCTGCAACCTTGGCAATGACCTCCCTGGCTTTGCTTTTATCATTACTCTTTTTAAGGAGGAATCTTAGTGCAGCCTGCACCAAGTCACACAGCATAAAGGTCAGAAACATTACTTTGCCACTGGGCCTCCAGGACTCAGCAGCCTCTATGTCCTGAATGGCTGCTGGTAAGGACTGGGCTGAAGTTCAAAGTTAAGCCACCTCTCCTGCTGGGCCTTTAAGCACACTTGCAATACAAAGTGGCTGGGGTGCAGAGAGGAAGGGGTTAGACCCCTTGTTTTTCCCAGACTTGCTCAGGTTACCTCACACGAGGAAATCACAAGGCCAACTAGGAACAGAGTCCTCAGTCTCCCCTCCCCTTGTACCTATTCCTTCCCTGTTCAGCTCAGCACAGTCTGCAGGGGAACCAAGCTGAAAAGACTCTGGACAGCCGGCCTCTACCCCCACCCTTTGGGCCAGCAGCACCAAGGTGGCCCTGAGTGACAATGTTACCACATGGGTCGGCTGCTTTCCTGTCTTTCTGCCAAGGAACCTGGAGGCAGGGAGCTATCCATACACCAAAAAGTCTAGTGAACTTCACAGGGTAATTATTCATGGTCAGCGCCTGCCTCGCCTGGCCGGGCCTTCACATTGCATTTGCTGAGGCCAGCAAGCAGCCTCAGATGTGCTCTGACAGCCGGTATGCTATCTTCCAGGGGTGCATGCCTAGCCACACCCACATGTCTAGACCCACCACATGCCTAGCTCCGCCACATGCCTGGCTCTGAGGTGCCTCCGTGGAAGTAGTTCTTGAAGATGAATTGTCAGCCAGCAATTACTCACTGAGCACACAGTCTAGGCCCAGCCCTGGCTAGCCACCAGAGACACAGAGAGGAACCAGACTCCATCTTTGTGCTCCAGATGGACATGTCTGGAAGGAAATATACATGGATTCAGTTTCAACTGAGGTAAGTGATTTCCCAAGTGCCAAGGAACCTCAAGGCAAGAGACTGACTGCTGAGCTTCTCAGCAGAAGTGATACCTGAGTTGAATCTTTCAGGACAGGGAACATGTCTGATGAAGATGACTGAGGGACATTTCAGAAAGAAGGCAGGCCATAGGGAAAGGCCCAAACCTAGGGCAGTGTCCAGCTTCTTCAGCATAAGAGGAGAAGTAGTAAGCAGCAGTTGGTCAGTTTCAAGGGAGATCAGCTGGAGAGTGGGGTAGGAGTCAAACTGTGAACAAGCCAAGTGCAATGCACCTGTCTACCAATGGAAAGCAAAGGACTTCACAAATGATGCCACAATGCATGGAACTAAATGCAAAGTCACTGTCAGTGTGGCAATAAATATGTATAAAACTTTCTCTTCCACTGCTCCTCTACATGTTTGCTTAGCTCCAGCCTCCCCACACACCAAAAGCATGCTGCCCTCCCTGCTGAGAAAGCATTCTCTTCTCCTCCTATCCATATCCCACCTTCCTTGAATGCCCAGGTCAAGACTCAAATCCTCGCCATACCTAGCCTGACTCTCCCTTGACCTCTGTCTTCTCTAAGCCCCCTGGGAGCCACTATCTTGACCCCCAGTGTGTTCTCCTTTCTCTGAGCTTCCTGGGAGTTGCTAAGCTGACTGGTGGCATGAGGTTCCTAAGGCTGCTCCAGGACTGTTGCCCTTGGATCAGAATGATTTATGGGGCTGAGTCTCTCTAGTGGACTGGGCCTCCCATAGCAAGGATCCCTCCAGAGCAGGGATACTCTGCTAGGAAAGTATAGTTTTCTAAGTGATTCATTCACTGCCAGGGCTCACTATCCTAGCCACACAATGTCCTTGCCAGTCTACAGCCTCAGCATCACCTCCCCAGGTGCTTGATGCTGCATGAGTTCCAGTCTCCCCATCAGGTCCAAAGGGAATTGGACTCTAGTTTCCATGGCCCTTCGTCACATGAGCCAGGCTCTCCTGGAGCAAGGCAGGAATAAAGCCAACTTAAATGAACTCTGCCTCCCAACCAGAGTGATATATCAGGGACAGTCAGGAGGGTCAGAGGCCACATTCATGATGATAACAAAGGAGAATACCTTCCCAGAGTCTCAGCTAGTGCCACATCACTCCTAGAGACAAGGCAGCTCTGCCCCCAGATTCAGCTCTGAGCAAGAACCCCCCAAAATCTCCTTAACTAGGACGTTTCTCCATGTCTGAAAGACACCAACTAAGGTAGTGTCATAATCCACCCGGCGGCCTGGTCCCCAAGCAGCTCTCCACTGTCATAAATAACCATATTTCAGTGCATATTAACTAGGGAAAAGGAAGGAGAGGTGTTGAAGAAAAGAGAAGAACAAAAAGAAAAGGAAAGAGAACAGATACAGGAAAAGAAAGTAAAGTAGGGGAGCTGTGAGGCATAAAAGCACCAGGGGAAGCACCCAGTTGGGGCTCAGACACAGTACCTTTTTCAGATTAATCCACTGCTTGAAGTAATCCGCCACTGGTAAGCCCAGGTACTGGCACTGGCCTGGGAGCCTACAAAAAAAAGGGGAGAGAGAACAAGTTGGGCACATCCAAGTCCCAGGTACGAAGACTTAAGATAGGAAGTCCAAAAGAGTTTACAAGACAAATAGACCTCAAAAGGTCAACCCATTAGCCGTAGATCCCACCATAGACACTGGGCTCCAGCTCTAGCCCTCAGATTCAAGTGTGACAGCCCAAAAACTCTTTTCAAAATAACAGCAGCAGCGACTATTTCCTAATGGCTTACAGTATGCCAAGCACCTTACTTACATTTTCACATTTAATCTTCAAAGCAATGCTGAGACATAGGTACTGTTGTCGACATTTTACAGATGAGAAAATGAGATTTAGAGAGGTTACCCAAGGTCCCACAGCTAAAACATGATAGCGTCAAGAACTGAACCCAGTTCTGTCTGACTCCAAGCCTATGTTCTTTCCACACACTGGTTTGTTGTTGTTTTGTTACAGCAGAGAGCCAAACAGACAAGACAGGAGGAGAGAAAGGCAGAACATATAGTTTGGAGATAGATGAGCAGGGGTTTCAGCTCACATTTAAGCGTCTAGCTACAGGTTTGTTTCAGATACAGAAGAGGCAAGGTAGAAGGATAAGAGGAGGTCAGAATTTAAATCAAGGGTCTGTTCTTATTTTTTTCTTTAAATTAGAATTTATCAACTATCTCCCCCTCTAGCTGATGATATTGTTTTACTCAGACAAATCCATTCAATCAAACATGCATTGTTGCTTAATGAGAGTCAGGAAGAAAGATGTAACTCTTGTCCATAAAGAGCTCAGTTTGTTCAGAGGTATGGGCAATGAAAGAAAGACAAAAACAGCCTTAAGTTGGAGCACAGGGGCATATGCAAGGATGGAGGAAGACAGTACTAGAAATACCAGCCAGGAAAGATCACAGTCTTATTCCTAAGAGAAGAGCTGTGCCACAGTCAATGAAGAGCCTCTGAAGAGCTGTATTTACCAAGATTGTTCAGGAGGCAGCAAAAATAATAGACTGAAAAAGCAGGGTAGTAGCCAGGAGAGAGAAACAGTAATGGTAAAGATGGTGATCAAGGAACAGACATTAAGAGATGTAAAGGAGGCCTGGTGACCGAATGAAATGTGGGGCCCAGTGAGAAAGCAGTAGAGCTCTGCTTGGCTAGCTTCGTGCCACTCACTAAGATGGATCCAAAGGAGGAGGCAGTGGCATGGAGAGCCTATGTGACATCCAGAGCAAGCCTGCATTTAGTCAATTTTATTATGGTTTTTAAATGCTCTACTTGTAGCATACCCCACTTTCTGCCCAAACTGGGGGGTGGGGGGGAGGAGCTGCTCCCCTGCCCCATCTTTAGTATGCCACTAGAAGGAAGCAGGAGTTTGTGAATGCAGTTTTAGAAATATGCTTGACACACAATAAACGCTCGATGTCTGCTGAGCTTGAGGTGCCTAGGAAATATCTGGTAGTGGAATGTATCTCAGAGGCAACAGGATATCCAGTTTTGAAGAGAGATCTGGAATAAGAACACAGATTGCTGAATCATTAGTATAATTATTAATGTAATCATTAACATAACTTAAGTAAAATTAAAGCCAGGAGAGTAAATAAGGCCACCTCATATCGAGCGAGGTGAGCAGAGGGCCCAGGCTAATGCCTTGCAAGTTTCATTGAGCCAAAATGAAACCAGGCTACCGCCATCAGACCATCATCACACACAAGGACCTCACTACTTCATGAAACAGCTAGATCTAATTTTTTGACTCAATTCTTAGAAATCCTTCCTTAAACACTAAAGTCTGTCTCCCTGTAACTTCTATCCATGGGGTCAAAGTATTTGTCTTTAGAAAATACAAAGAACAAGACTTCTGTCTTTTCCTCACAGAAACCTTCTAAGATCGGAGAGTCCAGAAAGCTTCCGCTGGAGTTCCCTTCTCCAAGCCACATACGCTTAGCAACTTCAAGAGTTCCTCACGAGACAATATGCCATTGAGTCAGGACTTATCCAACCTATCCCCATTCCCAAAGGGCAGGGCCCCAGACGTTTCTCAGGGTATGTGACATCTAAAGTCACACATGCTCTTTTGACCCCACTTCATATTACCTGTGGTCAACCTAAACTGTGATAAAAGTGTGCTTCCCCTCTCTGGAATATATAGAACTGATTTTTGAGTTTGAAATGCTAAGTAATTAGTGTCAACTGCCATGGAGTGGTCAAGCAAGATGACAGCTGGGAAAAACCCAATGGATTTAGAAATGAGGAGGTCAAAAGTAATCTTGGTGAAAGGGGCGTCAGTGGGCTGAGTCTGGGAGGCAGAAGGCAACCTGCAAAGTGTCAAAGAGTGAGAGATAAGACAGTGAAGATTACAAGTGCAAACTCCTTTTCTAGAAAGTTTGGCTATAAGAATCTAGTTGAGATGACTGATTCCATTCCAGAAAGTTCAAGGCAGTCCAGTCTTCCCTCCATTACCCTTCAAATATTTGACAGATACTAATAGAAAATTGATCCCCTTGTTTCAGACAGTGTATAGTAAGGATTTACTTTTATAAGACCCAAGATATCTTACCTGAGGGGCAGGTTCCTCTCAAACATCCAAGTGGCACAGTGACATTAACTGCAACTAGTCAGTTTCCTAGAAGGGAAATTCAGGCTGAGGCCAAGATGATGAAGGGGTATCCAGATAGATGTGCCCATGTAGGATGAAGGACCAAGAACATGAGGAAATGAGGCAAGGTTTTTAAGGCTGAAAGGTAGCCTTAGGAGCTAAAACGTGGCTGCCTAAGAAGCAGAACGGTAATTTGACAATAATTCTATTTGCTTCAATCTTTCTGTCATGTTCCTTATCCTTGGTATTTGTGAAAATGCTTGCTGAACTCAGTTATTTTAGAAAAATCACATTAAAGTCTATGAGTGAAGGGGGCCACCAGAAGCAGCAGAATCCACAAAGGAATAGGTCAGGGGGACTGGCCAGCAAAAGACAGGGAGCCTCTATCTCATTCTCCCGTAGCCAACTGTAGCACTCTCTGATTCTTTTAGTTGACACAGGCCAGGAGTCCTTTTGGCTCTAGCTAGCCCTGGGAGAGGGAGGGGCTCCCTCTTTAGCAGAATTTTAAGGGTAGACAACAGCTGTAGAAATTTCTACTATCTAGGAAGGGTCTAGGTCAGTAGGATCATGCCTATTCTTCTCAGAGGAGGACCTATCCCAAAGGGGCCACACTAAGGACAGGCCAGACAGATTGTCAGGTTGGATACTCCGTCTGAGATATGGCTCACCAGCAATCTCGGGTGCCATTCTGAATCCCAGGTCTGACTGATGTGCATGGGGGTTAGGCACCGTAATTCTCACTCAGGGGCTCTAGTCATTGCAAGTACACGTGCAGTTTGGAGACTCACCCACAGGCATTCAAGTTGTCGAGTAGTCCTCTGGGTAGTCCTAGCCCTGTGACTCCAAGATGCAAGCCATAAAAATGTAGCAGGGCCAGCTTCATCTTCGTGAGAGACAAAGGGCCAAATGCCAGAACTTGGGTTCACAGGTGCGTTGGGTTCACAGGTGCGTTGGGTTCACAGGTGTACTTGGGTACACATCTCTTTCACACACCCTACCCCAGCTTAGAGAGGATCAAGATATGAAATCTGTGAGGAAGGTGGGTTAGAGCGGTCATCATCCCTTACATAAAAGAGGAAACTGAGGCTCAGAGAAGAAAAGGATTTGTTCAATCATACAACAAGCCAAGGGTAGTACTAGAAACAGAACCCAAAACTTCTGACTGCACAGGCATAAGTTGTACAGACACACTCAGAGCTCTTTATAGTCCTGGGAAGGCAAAGCCCAGGGCCTTAGAGAAGCAGGTAGCATACTGGTAGCACTGCTCAAGGTCACACCTGAGTTCAAGGTTCTTAGAAGCCTAGGGTCAGTGGGTGTCAGTGGGTATCAGTGGGTACATGGTTCCACCAATTTGTCAAAAAAAAAAAGGTCCCCGGGCACAAAGGGTCTGAATGCTGTATGTTCCTAACAGATCCTGATCCTAAGAAAAGAGCCACTGGCAGTGGGCCCTGGACTAGCCTGTGGGCACGAACGTGCAGGCAGGTTTATAGTGCCCAGGTCTCCATGCAGCTGGATTCACTGGGCACAAATCTCCCCAACTGCCCAAACATCATCTGGTCATGCTTATTACTGTTGCCCAATGAAATTTTATGCACCAAGTCCACAGGTGTGATTTCCCCTTCTTTATGAGGGCCGGAATGACATCACTGATGGCCAATAGAAAAGAGCCAATTATGTCCAGGCCATAAAAAGAATGAGATTTTTTTTCAACCAAATCAAAACTTCCTTCAGCTTCATGAATCCAAGAGGCCCCTTTAAGGAAGAGTCCCCAGTCCTGACTGTGGGCTCTAAACCAAGAGGCATGATTGCTTTCCAAATAGTATGGGTCTAAGGCCAGAAAGGGGGTCTTTCCTTGGCATTTATCATGTGACCCTGCTATTACCACATTGGCCCCTCAGGGTCACAGGAACAGATTATCAAACCCTACCCTCAGACCCTAACTGGCTCCTCTCTCTCCATCCAGGGGAAAATTAGAAAAAATGAGATACTTCTCAAGTTCCTTTATTACTCTTTTTGTATAACAGAAAAGAAGGCAGAGAGCATTCCCCCCGCCTAGAAGAGAACAATACAGGGGAAATGGGTGTAAGAAACTGCCCCTCACCCTCACAAGCACACAGCACAAAGCAAAAGGCGCCCAGCCTTCCCCACTCCACCCCTCATTCAGCCCTACCACCTGCAACTGAGCCACACTGGCTGGGCCGAGACAGCCCTGATGGCAAACAGGTGTGGCTAGCCCGGCGCCAGCCAAGGCAGGGGAGTAGCTCATTAGGGGAACACCCCCCTCGCTAATGCGTATGGCCACGGTGGAGCGATTGTGAGCAGGAGCTCAGCTTTGAAGATTAGGTGAGGCAGACATGGGGGGAGAGCTGCTAGGCTGAGGCAAGGAAAACTGCACATCCATGGAGGTCTGCTGGACAGA